GGCCTCTCCACCTAGGCCCCGCTAATCAACCAGCGCCGAAGTATCCTTACTGCACATGAAGCATCGTCAGCGGACCAAGTCACAATGTCGCTGGTGCCAGGTAAGCGGCGATAACCAACCAGCTCCGATACCAAATCGCAAGGAATATGAGTGTGAGCGATATACATAAAACCAAATTGCGAAATCACACAAATGTTCGTGTCCCAAGCCGAGAGTACAAATGCATCGAGAAAACCATCCATATAGAGCAATACAATGAAGTAATGAGTCAATGTTCAAGCCCGTAGGCCACACCAACACAGTATCCAAAGTCGCTCTGCTCTGTCTGGCGCAGAGTTCACAAAACCATTTTTTTCCCTACCCATTTCCGACCCAGCCCAAGCCTTGATGATTCATATCGAGCTGGACCCACGTAAACACAATTCTTTTTACCCAGACCCAACCCACCCACGCTAATATAATTTTTTTTCTACCTGTACCCAGCCCACCCAGGGTGATTTAAAAATGGTCTACCCATGCTCAGCCACACCCAGGCCAATTTTTCGTTCATCCGCATCCAGCCGCACCCAAACCCAGTGTCCATCCGCCCGTGCCCAGCCGTACCTGTGCCCAAAATTTTCCACCCAAGCTTAGTTTTTATCTTTATTTTAAACGTAGGCCTTTGCATGTCGGATACTTTAGCTTCCATCCACAGATCTCCACTTCAAATTTTGGTGGTGGCAATGGGCCAGTGGCTGGGGATACTTACAGTGATACTTTCATGTTTACATTTGGCCGCAACTACAGCCAGATTTCGATGGATCTGACCGCAATTATGGCCAGAGCTTATAATTGAATGACGTATTCCCTAAGGTGAAACAACTTGGGCCAGGCCGAATTAATAGTACGGCCTAACCTTAGTACTACCTCGGCCCTAAGATGATCGGCAGACGACCAGAGACAAATTTATACTAGGGGCACACCCCAGTAGTACCACCACTTCCCAGTGAAGAAAGAGTGTCAGGCCTGGCTTTAATACTACGTAGGCTTGCCTAATATGTTAGTATGCCTACAGGCCTCGGGTCACCCACGCGAAAATCTCTGCCCAGCCGTACCCTGAACTAGGGCAAACCTTTGCCCGACCGTAACCGTCCAGGCAGTGTGTGAACACCCAGCCCCACCCACCCTACAGTTTCCTGCCCCGGACATATCCCCCCCTCAGATTTCTGGACCCAGCTGTCCCGGTGTGTACTAATCATGCCATACCCACACCCGTCCAGAACTGTCGGGTACGGCTGGGTACGGTCGGGTTGGGTCACGGCCACCCAATGTCAACCTCTGGTCTGGCGCTCAACGCCCAGCCTACTCTACCTGACTATCCTACCTACAGCTGGTTCACACAACAGGATCACTTCGATTCACGAAGACCAATATACATGACTGCCAACATCATCGTCGACCTCTCTTCATGTACCAGGTACGTATCTCGTCACCCTCAATCAGACCCTGATTACCCCACACTCGCCTCCTTCCCTGAAGACCACTCAATCGCCCGCATTACCCCCTGGCGCCCAGCAGCCCGGCTATGGCCGCCTGCGCCCCACTGCCCTGCAGCATCCCACTTCACCTCTATGTGCCCCGTCATCGCCCTTGGCAGCAGCGCAGCATCAAGCGACAGTGCAGCAGCACTTCCGCATTGCCAGCACTGGCCAGAATGCCTGGCCTGGGCTGCCTCACTCCTTTTGTGGACGTGGCAGCCTCCTGGATGCTGCGTGTGGCCTGGCTAGCAGCTTCCAGTAGCTTCCGGTTGGGTCCCAGACCCTGCGCCCAGGCCCGAGACTACAGTTGAGGGCCTGGGCCCTTTACAGTTAGGCACAGCCTGAGTCTCTGGACTTGGGCTGTTTGCTGCATCTGTGCAGGGCTCCCAGGCAGGTGCGTTGGCACTACTGCTTTTTTGTGTATGTGTGCCCAGGCGCAACTGTCAAGGCCTGGGCCAACTGTATGACGCAGAAATGTGAGGCTCACGCGTCTACCCAACCAACTGGTGTGCTGCGAGAGCCTGAATACCCACATATGGAAATGTTGAATTTTGCCTCTGACGAATATTCAGGCCCGCCTTCACTTAGGGCGGGCACTTTGGCGTGCTGGGGGCTTGTTCCTGACAGCTATATCGGCTGTTTGTGCTTCTGCTCCCCGTGAGAGACGGGGAGCATTCAATGCTTGCCAACCGTTTCAGTTTCAGGGCTTCAATGTGACGTAGCACTTTTCTGAATGTAACTTGCTGCACTTCGCTGCAGCAGTGGATGTATCTGAGGGCAATCACGTTCAGAGCTTGGTACCTCTTCTCCCTTCGTTTTTTTTTGTTTTTTTTTTCCTTTTTCACTTTCCAGAATGTATCTGGCTGCACTTCGCTGCCGCAGTGGATGCTTGGCTGTTTGTGCTTCTGAGGCGGAGAGCATTCAACGAGATCTTTCAAGACGGATCTGGCTGCACTTCTTCCCAGGCCATTTTCATGTACACGAGTGGAAACGAGAAAACTATCACCTCTTTACATTCCAGCTGCTGGCAGCAGGTCCAGAATAAGGGCGGTACCTGTGCCAAGCATCAAATGTCCCATGTTGGTTCTTGCCCCCTGCAGGCTCAGCAAAAATCGACGTGCAGGGCATATTCAGGCTCGGCTTCAATAGCTGGGCCAAGTACTGGTGGTGATAAGAGCATCCCCGGTAAGTAGGCCCCAGCGCCGAAGGCTCCATCTATTGGGGGGGAGCTGCACCTGCTGGAAATTGGGTCCAACGTCCCTGTACAATGATGAAATGTGTATCAGCTGGGAATTGGGTCCAGCGTCTGTATGCAGTGCTGTGTGGTTAACTTGTACTGAGCATCCAATACTGTCTATATGTGTTCGTTAGTCAGTATATGTCACATGTTGGGAGAAGCCTATCCACCTAATCTAGTGTATCTCAATATGTGTTGAGGCATCAAGCCCAATCCTATCAATCAGACCCCAAGATGAAATCATTACGATGATGTGATGTGTGTGACCTAGAACTCAGGTCCAGGTGCCCTATACAATGATTTGTAGAAAAGTCGTAGTACACATTTGATTACTAGTCTACTGTATCTCCAATACGAGCTAAGGCATGAAGCCCAATCCCATCGACCAAACCAGAAGACGAAACCCTAACGTGATGTGATGTATTGCCACGTTACTGTAGATAGCAGACACATTGATTACTTCCCAACGACAGGGAAGGATTGACCTCCTGCCATCGAAGCCTAACCGTAATGAAAAGCATTCTCATCAACCACCACAACAAGCAATCGTCAAAACACACCACAAAACAGATCAGACACGTAAAAACCCTAAACAGCCGACCTCCAACCTGAGGGACAGTCAACATTCCATGTTGCTTGAAATCGAGGGGCCGGATGACTCCAATCAACAGAGGGGACATCTACTATCCTACTCCCATCAGCTGCCAGACATGGAGGAGCGGTTCAACATTGGAAAAGAACAGGGGGGGGGGGGGAGGACAATAACACGTTTTTTCAACACTAATCCCCTCCTCCCTGTCCTCGTCAGATCCCTACTCCTCTCCCCCTGTGATGATGTTGTTGTTCTTGCGGCTGTTGTCACTGCTGTCGTTGTCGCCGCAAGCGGTGCAGACGCAGTTGTCTTTGTAGTTGTTGTTGTTACTGTTGTTGTTGATGTCTCAGTCGTCGTTGTCGTCACTATCAAAAACGCAGCTGCCTGGACCAGTGTCTCCACCATTGTTTGAATTAACGCCGTCATGTAGTCTTTGTTGTTGTTGCTGTTGACGTCATTGTCAATGATGCTGTTGTTGTTGTTGTCCACGCCGTTGGTAGCACTAGCTGTTTTAGAATTTGGCCTGGACTTGGCCTGAGTATTATATTGACGGACTCTATCGCCTACCCTTTGGGAAGTCTGAAGTCAGTGGAGTGGACTGCCATGACGAACTTTGGGTGCCCAATGGCTGATCAGGTGGCCATGACGATTTGCATTCGAAACCAATGCACGATTCCAGGGACTCCCGAGAAGAAGGCCTTCTGCCATACTTGGTACACAGAAAGGGGCATGCAAACACATCTGATTGGAAGGGAGACCTAGAAGCTCCCTGCAGTTGTCTCTCTGACATGTGATTTCCAATGTATACAGGCCTACAACCCCCCAATGCCTGAGTACAGACCCTGGAGAGATTGCTTTTCGTTGTGGCTCATACAGCGCTTCCCTTCGATGCTGCCGTGCAGTGGTTGCTTTCCATAACATTGTTCTGGACCACGTGAGAGAGCAGGAGTGTCACTGGGTTCACATTCATACGGCCACATGCGCGCACAAGAGAGAGAGAGAGAGAGAGAGAGAGAGAGAGAGAGAGAGAGAGAGAG